CCTGCTTTCAGCCTGAAAAATACAGGCCAAGGAGAGATCTGATTCTGAGCTTGTTCTAGCCGTAAACACATATACATCCCACCAAAAAGATGTGAAAGAAGTGCCCCAAGAGGAAAGAATAGCTAATTTTAATTAATGGACAACACCAGCAGAAGAACAAAGATGCATTAACTGGCCACAAATAAAGTCTGGAAATTGAGAAAGATTTCTCACTGAGCAAGACAGTGCAGAGAGAATTTGAAGGGATAAACATATAGGTATTTTTTTAAGAAGAAATTTGATAATTCTCTTGAAAGGGTTCCTATATACTGCCTGTGATAGCAGGTGACTAGATTTACTAAGGAGTGCCAGTTCTTTGTCAGATAAAATATCACCACTTCAGTGATTCAGTTTGGAACACATCCTCAAATATTTGCAATTTATGCAGGGGAGACACAATAAAAAAAGAGTGTTCCTGCCAAGCAGTAACCAATCCTGCCAAGATGACCTAAATCTGTTGCCAAGTCAGATTTACCCTTCACATTCAAACATGAGAGCTGCATCTGTAACTTACTCTGCACTTCCTCTGCTGCTGAGCCTGAAAGGGAAGGTCAGATCCCAGCTTCAGGATAGCAATCGATGCTTCTGCATGAAAGGCAGCTTAATTTTAGCATCTCTAAGATTGAAATGCTAAAGAATTGGCTAATAATTCTGCCTTGCATCTGAGGGGCTAGGCTAAGTAATGAAATTGAAGTGTTTACACAATCTTGGTAAATAACCAAACTTTTGTGCTCTAAATATTCAGAATAGGAAGTACATAAAGAGTAAATGAATAAGCAAATGGGCACAATGGCTGTCTCTCACAAATCTAAATCCCTGATTAGAGATATTATAGAGACTGGATTTATTATAGCTAGAAGAGAAGAGCTGAAGGTTTTTTTGCCCCCTCCTTTTTTTTTATTTGGTTGGGGTTTTTTAATACAACAGTCCTGTATTTATACTAATTCAACTAATCCAGGATACAGTTTACAAGTTTACATTAGTAATTTTAAGAGCAACTTCATAATCTCATACAAGCTGGCACTGTGACTTGCACCAAATGCACTGATTTAAACAGTTTTCATGTTAAAGAACTAATTGCTTCATACAGCAGAGCAGTCCCAGCAGGGTGCATGCTCTGCTCAGTTTTCTCAGTGTATTTTTTTCAGTCGCCACATTGCTTCACTTGAAAAAAAGATGTGGGAGTCTATTTGTGAAGGGAGCTACTCTACCATTGTCTTACAGTCATTTCAAACATTAATTACAGCGTTTTACAGTTAAGATAGGCCAATATATGTCCTACAGTAAGTCATATGTTCTTGCAAACTCATATTTCTGAGCATTAATTTCTGTGTATGGATAACAGGAAGTTTTTGAAGTTCAGTGTTAGCTGACTTTCTCCTTATTTTAGGATCAGTTCAGAAGGACACTTAAACATTTCCATAGCTTTAAGCATTTAAACTCTATTTGTATTACACAATTATATCTTCTGTTAATTATTGAACTGCCCTGCTACTCAATATAATGGTTTAGCAGAAGTGTTAAGCATCCTGCCAAGCAGAGGCCTGAAAGGGAGCATATGACAATTGTTGTCCTTGATAGATCTTGGTCAGTAGCAGCTTGAGCAATGACAACAGAATGCTTTTCAAGGTATGAATTTCTCATCGAAGTCTGATTGAATCATGCAATGCAACTATGAGCCTGTACCAAGGCCCCTAAAATTTCTCCAGCCTACTTCACTGTCCAGGCTGAGAGTCTCAGTCTCTCTTAACTGCCCCTATCTCAAGAGGGAAAATGAGACAGGAAAACCAAAACAACCCCCAAAGCAGCCTCCTTACCAAACAATCGAAATCAACAAGCCAGCCATACGGAAAAAAAAAAAAAAAGGCAAATACAATCTCTCCTTTCAAACCCCCCTTTCTAAGCACTGCAGCAGGTCCTCCTCTTCAGGTAGAGGGCTACAATACACCAACAGTGTCAGAAGCAGAGTTTGTGAGTGTCCACCTCTCTCCTCCTGGTTCAGAGAGACAAGGTGCTTCCCTACCATGAGATGTGTTTCCTACTGTGAACAGGGAAGATGGCATGATGCCCTGACCTTCTGGCTGAATGGGTGGCAGGGAAGGTACTCCTCTGGTACGTGGAACAGGATTCAAGTCTCTGTAAAAGGGAGACAGGTACGCTAGGCTTTTTTCAAGATGTTATCTTGGTACATTTCCTTTTTCTCTACATCATCTTCTGATGTCCCCTGGAACTTCTGGAAATAAGTAAACTGACTTATCTAAAGCATCCTGTCAGACATTAAAGGATACTGTCACATACTAATCATACCCCAGGCACAGATGGGAACACAATTGCTAAAGCTACCTCACTACCAAAAATATCTATAAACAAAAATAAGGCCACATAAATAAACTGAGGCAATAGGTAAGTAAAGGTACCAGAGAATTTTCCCTGCCTCAATTTATTGAAAAAGCTGCGGGATCCTCCTAAGAGGGAACCAGAACAAAGAACCTCACAAACGTTTCTGAAGCAACAAGTTCTTTTTCATAAACTGCCTGAAGCAGCTAAAATAATGATCTTGCATAATGAGAAAGGAACAATTACAAACTTCTAGTCCCACAGGGAGCCTATTGTCTCATTAAAGTGTTCTGGAATTTCTATGACATTTAGAAACAAACTGAACAGGTTTCCCACTTGCTGAAAGTGGGAATGGGCCTTCTATCTATTAAAGCAACAGCACAAAAAAGTATCTCTTCCCATAGCGATTTCAGTGCCAGTTTTCTGGTTTATTAACAAAGAACTTTGTGAGAATGACTTGTTCGACTGAGGCTGTTAAAAGTTTTCAAAGCACTAACAGACAGATTATTAGAGCAGTTTAAAGAGTAACGCAGACCCCTCTGAAATTTTTATGTCTAGTTAGCAGAAAAGAAAAAATTCCATGCATGTTCAGAGTGATATTTTACCTGTAAGACCTACGAAGCAATGGGAAGTCTCTCCTTTCCAATTCTAGCTATACATGCTCTTCCCTTACAAGGAACAACAGGCTGCATGAGGCACTCTCCCCTGTGACACAGCTATCAGCATCCTGCCTTGCAGGCCACCCAGCCCTGTCTCCCTCTTACGTACAGTCCCTCCTGGATCACACACAGACCTTTGTCAGTCGTGGGCCAACTTGGCTGCTCTTCCTGCATCTCTGGTCTTTCCCTTGGAAACTCTGTTCTATTTAACTACTTAGCAGGTGGCAGATCTGTTTTCTCCTTGCTCTCCTGGCAGCAAACAAGAACCCATCCTTCCTTTAGCTTCTCTCAGAGAAGGTCCACAAGCAGCCACAGCAGAGGACCAGTCAAAAGCAGCAAATTGAGCATCTGCACTAAGAGGAAGCCAGCAGCTCCCCGCAGGAACAGCCCAGCACAGAGGCTGGGCACTAGTGAAGAAGACTACGTGAGAGTTGGTAGAGCATTAACAGTACTTTAGAAAGGAATAACAGAGGCGAGTGAGGTTAGAAAGAGGGAGAAAGAAAGAAAGAAATTTAGCAAGTACACTTTATCTTAATAAGGAAGAGTTCATTTTCTCTAGATACATTCATATGTGCAGGGATTGCTTTGGGGCATTTTGCTAATTCTGCATACTTAGCTTGGGTCTGTATAGTGTCAGCTGGGCAAATGGCCTTAGAGCTAACACTGAGCCTTCAATTCCTGTAGAATATGCTGTCCCCCTGAATGTGTGGCCTCATGTTGCTTTAACAGTCCTAAATTCCACATGAAAGGATTTAATATTAAAAGAACAATAAAATCAGCCATAACGCTCTAGGTTGTACTGTGCCAAAGCATAATACGATTATAAATTCCGTTCGTTTACAGAAGTATTCCAAGAGGACCATTTACTGCAAGTAGGATTATCGTTACCTAAAAATACTTTGTAAAGGGAACTCATGAATTTATTCCTTTGATTACAGCCTTCTTTTATATGAGAACCTGAAAGAAGGTCTAAGGGCATAGAATTAGGGGTAAGGTGTTTGGGGCTGCCCACCAGACCTCAGTAGACAACAGAATATTAATTTAGCATAAATAAGGCATAACAGGAAAACAGAAGAGGTACTCCAATTTGAAAGGCTGAGCTCTGCTAATGTTCTTAGGTTGTGAAGCCTGTCTTATGGAAAAGGACTGCATAATTTCAAAAGTAAACAAACTCCCCTGTCAGTATCTTAATATTTTTGCACAAGCGTAAATATTTTCCGAAGGAGAGAGATTTTCCTATAAGATAGCTCAAGGAACTGGTAACACAAAATGCTGGTTTTTCATTTCATTGTGTGGCCTGGTATTCCACTGAATTCATCCTACTGTGGCTTTGCCTATGCAACACACCACCTCCTTATTAATGATCCAAACTACGACATGCAACAGCCACCACTGACTCAAATTCAGCATTTGTGTATTTTCCTCGGAGTTGGCATGATAATGCCTTTCATTGCTTTCAATCCCTCTAAGACAAAGGGGGAAGGAGAAAAAGAAGTCTTTCACAGAGAAAGCATCACACACACTCGCACACTGTATTTGCAGGAGTATTCCAAGAGGGCCATTTACTGCAAGGAGGATTACGGTTACCTACAAATACCTTGTGCAGGGAGTCAACTTATTTATTCCTTTTGTTACAGCCTTCTTTTACACAGAAAAAGTACAAGATGCCTAAGTTCAGGAATGCAGTGTTCGGGACAACACTTGCTCCTTGATCTCTGACAACCAGTTAGGGGTTTTGGGTAGAGTTTATTGTCAGAACATTTTTATTTCACCAAAAGCTCCTGCCAACCATTCACATCAGCATTTTGATGGGAAAACAAGATGCAGTTCCCCCCACCGCAATCCCTCACGTAGGGAAGTCTGATATAGAATCAAACTGCAGGGTCTGGCTCATTTCAGAGATCGAGATGCATCAGACTGCTTCAGTTACCCGGTGACAGGAAAGTAAGAAAAGTTCCAACTTACCACCCCACCTCCTGCAGAGTGAACCAGCACAGACATGCCTTCTCTTAGGTTAGCAACTTCAAAGAGCATCATGTAGGCAGTTACAAAGTTCATGGGAAACGCAGCAGCTTCAGAAAAACTCATGTCATCTGGAATCTTGTAGACAAATTCTACTGGGGTACATACTACTTCAGCCCATGCATTGTAGTTTACAAAAGCCATGACTCTGTCTCCAATCTACAAACAAGGAAGAAAACAATGTTGAGGATATGGCTGCAGCTGAGACTGTAGAGAGCAACTGGCAAGACCCGCAACGATCCTGTTCAAGCTGTGGGTCACTGACTGTGAAGATAACGGTGCTCACATCTTTGGCAAGATAGCAGTTACACTTCTCAGCTTTGGCCTTTTGCCATTTTTTAAATTGTATTCATTTAAAAAGTTGAATTTAACAAAAATATCCAAACAAAGTTAAAGCCACCTCTTCTTTTTTGCTACGCTGCTTCTCCGACAGAACAGTCTTCCATCATCACTAATACAGATCATCCTTTGCTAGCAGAGCTCCTAAATAACAAATGGGGCTGTAAACAATGAAAACAGCATTCTTACTAATAACCAGGAAATTTGCTTACAGAAAAAAGAAAAAAAGGAAAAAACATTATAATGATATTGGTGAGATGCGTGGAATAAACAAAATTACATCCAATATAATTTTCACTTTGCTTTCTCAGTCTTCACACTAATTCAGAGCTACTTTTCCTCTCTGTGGATTGAGAAGGGGAGGCCTTGTACTCTGATAGAGAGTACATGAAAGGGTTTGGATACGACTCATTTAGAAGATAACACCATCTGTATCCACTCTCCATTTTTAATGTCTTAATAACTGATCCTAGCAATAAATTTCCATGACTGTAATTTCTACAGCTATGTGTCAGAGCAGAATTTGACCCTGCAACTTCAAATAAGGCACCTTAAACATACCTCTGGATTCTGAGGCACTACTAAGCCCACAAAGTGAATTTGACAGGATTTAAAGCAGCAATTAAATATTCTCTTGGAATGCAACGTTTCTCTACTCAATTTGTTTGGAAGATACATAGTAGTGAAAGGGTATTTCACTATGGAGAAAAATATTTTATTATTAACTATTTTATTATTAGTATTAGATACAGTTGGTTGCTCCTAGGAACCTTTCACAGGTCGAGGCCCATCAAATTCATGTGTTTGTATAATGGCCTTCATTGCATATTCAGGTTTTTAAAATGGAGATAGTGACTCCCCACAGATGGACAAGAAAAATAACAAGGCAACTGGAGCTCTGAGGCTCCTCCAGGGGTACAACCAGACTTGGAAAGCAACACTCATGTAAAAGTAGAAATTGGTCTGCAGGGGCTACTAGGGAGAGCCACAGTAAGCAAATGTTTGGCCAGCGTATATTAAAACCTTCAAAGGCACAACTCTTACAAACTCTCGATAACGGCTTGTCACCAGCAGCCCCTACGCATCTTTTACCTTGCCCTAGACCTCTTTGCCTTTCTATAATACACCAACAAAAATAGCATCCTTAACCATGAAAGGAGCTCTTCAATGGAGCCACAGTATAAAGGCATTAATAGCATCAAACTTCAGGACTTCATGTTTTAACTAAAACTAACAGCAGCTGTCCCTCTAAAATACCTTTGCTTATCTGACTGATATTCCCTATCTTACATTCTACTAATACCCACTAATGCTTTAGAAATACTACAGGTTGTTCTTGGATAATTTCAACTATATTCCACAGCAACGGAATAAAGCACAACACTTTTACCTTCAGGCAAACATTTATAGCACAAGCACATTTTGGTCTCCCAAGTACTTGTCATCACTTTGGCTTTGGGATATTGTGGGTTTGCTAAGAGCAAAGGTGCTGCTGACAGTTCTGAAAGGTTTGTCTTTTAGAATGAGGATGCTGAAACAGAACTGTCATTCCAATCTCACCAAAATGCCTCCTCCGTTTGAAAAACACATTCAAATTAACAATGCCTGCCTGGTAACCAGTCTGTGGTTCCCTTTTGCTGTCAGAGAAGCTTCTAAAACCTAAAGTCTGATAGGATTAGTGAAGATGTTAACACGTCCTATATCCTTGCAAACAAACATAAGCAATTACCAAAAAGAATGCAGAGAAGTCCCTCTTGGTGATTCTCAAGGGATTTCTTAGTAACAATAAATACCATATTTTAACGCAAACACTATACAGAGCCTAGTCATCATGTCAGATTAGGCCTTAGCTCCTGAGAATCATCCCCACAACTACAGAGAGATCAGGCCTGGTGCATTTGAGCTCCGTAGAAATCAGCTTTTTCTTTTAATGGGAGAAGGAATAGGCATTACACCATTATTCCATAAAAAAGGCTTTCTTTCGATGTAAAATGTGTTCTTACACATTGCTGTCAAAATGGGCTGCCATTCACTGCTGTCATTGTCATACGGTAATGCAATCACAGCAAATGAAGACAATAAATGCTGGCAATATCTTGGGTGTAGTATCAGGTAGTACAGACTACGGGCCTGAGTAAGACACTTCTTCCAGAGCATGAAATGCCCACGACTTTAACGTGACTTGAACTGGAAGACAGCAACAAAGGGAAAGAAGGTCAGAAGACATAGGGTGCAATCTTTGCCATTCCTGCCATTGCTATGGACAGTGGTAGCAGCATATGTCAAGGAGACAAGAAGCATCTGGCATGCTCCTATTCTGTGCAAGAAATCCATAAAGAAACTGACAGAACATTCTTGTATCTTCTTCATGGTATGTTCTCCGGTTGATGGGTTCATACCTGCGCATAGTGGTTATTCTGAGTGTCGACCCTTCTTCTAGATCACTCAAATACTACCATGGCTATGCAGATTATATGCAAAAAATAAAACACCACGGCTTGTTTCAATTTCAGGGAGTACACCAGAGCACAAACATGTTCTATAGTCAGAACAAAGATATAACTTTAAAAGAGATCCAGTATATTCAGTCAGGTGCACTGTTATTCAAACAAGAACCATATGCTGAGGCCTCATAATGCCCTTTAAAAATAGCAAGAACTTTTAAACTGAGAATGCTGATCTAGAGCAGATACTGTCTACACTCCTTTCATAGATTATTCTTCAATATGGAGCATAACTATAAAACACAGATACTAAAGCAGAACAACTAAAGCAGTAGAATTTTTCAAACAGCAAAGTTGTCATTCAGTTTGTCACAAAAAACATTGGAAGATTATGACTTGTTTCAAGGCAGAGATGGGGCAGGAAAGGGAAGGTAGGAAAATGTCCTAAGAAGAGCTCATCACTGAGACCCTACTAGAAACTAAACTGCCCATTATCTTCACTCAACTGAGAAATTTTACAGCTCTTCTAGAAGAGCAAAAATGTTACCTTTAAATAAAAACATTTTAGGCAGTTGCCTTAAGGTTGAGATACAGTAAGGATTCAGAAAATGCAATTACTTGATGACATGACTGACTCAGCAAATAACTAAGATAGGATTGACGTGCATTAACTCAGATTTTAATTCAAAGTTTTTCTACATTTAGGAAATAAAGTGCAAGATTGGAGGGAACACATATGTTTCACATCAATAACGGAATAGGAGGTAGGACAGAATGCTGCTTATATGTGATAAGAGATACCAAGGACTACATAATGCCAACCAGTTATGAGAGCTTTATTATATACATTAACTATTTGTCATTTATCACTATTCTGTTAAGTGAAATAGATCCTTTTCCTGAGTGATCAGAATAAGTCACATACCCAGAATCAGCGTCTCAATTCTATCTGCATCTCATGAATGCACACGGTTGTAAGAAGCAATGCCTGTTGTAGATGAGGGTCTCTAACTCAAAGTCAAAAGTTGGAATTAGAATCAGCAGCGCATGGGCTTTGACAAACAGAGCAACAATGATAGCAAACACGGCCAAGACAAGAAACTTAACTCAATTTCTTGCACTTTCTTAAAGCACATCAGTCATGCTTTCCAGTTCCTATTTAGCCAATAGGATATGCACATGGCACAAGTGACTTTTCAGGAAGGATTAGAAGGAGATGACAGTGGTGGCTTTAGAAAGTAATTCAAGAGGTCATTCTCCTGCTTGGGAAGCAGCAAGGAAAAATTGCCCTTTCAAATCTCAATAGGGTGGTGAAGGCTGCTGTCACTGGCAGACCAGAAGGGATTAGGGACAACATACTCAGTGAACTGGTGATTATTTAGTCTTGTTCTGAAAATAAAGAAAGTATTACCTCAAATCCTTTCACGCTATCTCCAAGAGCTTCTACAATTCCAGAGCATTCAAAGCCAGGGACAAGTGGCGTCTTAGGAGGGTTGTCGATATTCCCCTGTCGCACCATCAAATCAATAAAGTTCAAACCACTGTAAAACACAGGTAAAAAATAACATCAAGACTGTTACCATAGATCAAAGCAGAAGAGGAAAACTTGACCTGAGTGATGGGAAAGCCAGAAAACTTCAGGGCAGCATTAAAAAGCTGGGCTCCACAGCGTAAGAGGGACGCAGCAGACATTCTCATCCTTCATGCGTGGCACAGACTGACTTCACACTGTTGTAGAGGCCTCAGGCAGAAGAGTACACATGCAAGGCAACCTCATCTGTCATTAGCCCCAAAGCTTACAAGATTGTTTGGGAGTCACACACAGAAATTCACTAAGGGCATTTAAAAATTCAGTACAGTGAAACATTAAGATTTCTATGAATGCATTACTAGCTGGCAAGTAAACCCAGTTCAATTTAAGAAGAAACCCCCAAACTTCACACATTATAGAAGTTCTGGTCCAAGAGCAACCTGATGTAACTGTCCTAGCCTCTGACGTGACTCCAGGAAAGAATCTTGTGTTCATCCCAGGCAGGAGTCCAAACTTTGACATGAACTTATTAAGTATCAGATAGGCTGTTGTTTTAAAACTATTCCTCCTGGATCACTTTTGTACAGTTTTGCAAAGGTTATTTGGGTCTTTGGAGCCTGCAGGGTTGCTGCTCAGAAAAAATACAGGTGTTGCCCTGGACTGTCAGTTTTGCAAAAGTCTTGAAGCATCTTTGCTTTGTCTTTTATATGCTATCCAATTTTATTAAGTAAAATTCTGTGGGTTTCTAGGCAGCCACAAAAAACCCAAGCAAAAACAGTACCATTTATCTACTGTGTGCATATACTGATTACTGGCACAAATGCCATACATAGTTAAAATGTCTAAAACTCATAACTAGCTACAATATGCTTCAGCATTAATCCATTGTTCCAAAACACAGCCCTGTATTTATTGTTAGCCAAAATTACTGCATACTAACTCCCCCGACTCTACAAAGCTATGCACACAGTGAGTCGTACTCACACATGATACCAGCAACTGCTTGCATACATAAAATTACTGATGTGCACAAGTATTTATACGATAGAGCTTTAGTCAGATACTAGTCAAGACACAAACAGACTGAACAGACCCAAAAAAACCAAAAAGACAGATTAGACACAGAGCATAAGCACAAAGACAAGACAGCATTCATGAGATGTAGGTCACTGGGGGGGGGGGGGGGTGTTCACCAAATGTAAATATTTGTAATTGTGGTGGAGGGTTTAAGAGCAACCCAAACCCACAACTTTTAGCTCTGTAAAAGCAAGATTACAGATTATTTTTGAAAAACGTGGCTTTTAACAGTCTAGTTTGACAAACTCAGGACAAAAATTAAAAATAAAAAGAACAAACCAAAAAAACCCCTCAACATGCTCACACACAAAGCTCATAATATTAAGCATATGGAAGGTTAGGAGGGGTTTGGCACAATTAAGTTGGGAGCTTTGAAATGATTTTGGAAAGGCCACTTCTTATCCAGTGGCTAAGACCACCTCCTACATCACCACTGTAATGTTGATAATGAAAGAGAAATTCCAAATAACATAATGCCTGCAAGGCAGTCATCATTTGGCAGGAGAGAAAAAAAAAAAAAGAAAAAACCCAACAAAAAAACCCACCAAACCAAAACACCACAAACCCAAAAGCCCCACAATACACATGGTGGCAACCATTGTCTGTGTACATTAACTTCAGTGATGATCTTTTGAATACATCTTTCCACACTGTGAGCATTTTATAGAAAGTTAACTTTTTCTACATTCCTGCAAGAAAGGGCAGCTGGAAGTAGAACTGTGATTCAGGAACCTGCATAGGAACAGGCACCATGACATCATAACAAGTAGGCAACAAGCAGACAGATGGATATGGCAAAGACCATAGCTATTTGATAATGATATATGATTACAAATACATTATTGCAGCTCTTTCTAGAAACATTAATTCTTACGAAGTAACTTGACAGACAATTTTTGAAAGGGCACATACTCAGTTTTGCATCTAACTACATAATACTAGCAATTCAGTTCTGTTCTAGTTCCATTTCTCTTTCATCTGTCTTCATCCTCAATAAAAGGCAGCAATATTAAATAAAATAGAGAGTTCATCTCTATTACGATGAACTTACAAGACAATACTAGAAAAGGTGTGATAAGGAGAGAAAACACTACACAAGGTACATAATACCTAAGTCACATGTTTTTATGATTTTAATTACTAGCTGGAACATAGTGTTGATCAGCATTTCTAATAATTTCTAGTCATTTTCCAGAGAGTTTCTTCTTTATTCGCTCCATCTTTGATCTCCTATATGCCTACATGTTGTCACATCCCTGTTACTCTCATACATGCATTTGTTCCCATTCTTCTCCACTTTCAAATAAGGACAGAAATAAGTTATTTTATTTTACCTGCCAAATTTGAACAATTATGTTGTATGGTAAAACCAGCAATATTTTTTTTTCCCTTTGAATAACCTGGAGGCCCCAAAGATGAATGGCTAGTTCAGCAACTACCTCCAAGACACCCAACCTTATCAAGTCCTTCATTGAGATTCAACCTACAGCAGACACAGGAAAAGGGAAGTTTGGCTGCACAGAACATAACAAGAAAATATGTCTCATGAAGAGTGGTGGTTTTAGAGAATAAGCACAATTCATTTTTTGTATCAGTACAAACCAGCACAGCCTGTTCTGCTGTGTAGCCAGAAAAAGTGACTCCTGAACTTTAAGGGCAAATGCAGAAGGAGAAGTATAAATGCAAAGTGATCCACTGATAAAAAGTGCAGAATTTCTTGCAGTCATGTGTTTTTAATCCTAAATCAAAAGCTGAATGCAAATGAAGATAGGGAAGGATATGAATTACCAAGATCAATACACTAACATAGGGGTTCTGCAAGAACCTTTCCGGGAAATAGCAGGGATATTGGCGTGAACTGCATAAACTGAATTACTTGTCCATCTCTGGAGACTGAATTTATCAAACATCTAAGTATCTTTGAATCTGACTTTCCAAGTCTGCAATTCTCTGCGTTAACACCAGTTTTGAGGATCTCAAATATTATTTTCTATACTTGTGGCTTAGCTTTGCTACATTTTTATGTGTGGAAAGTCCAGCAGATAGAAAGCTGTATTCTAGACTTCTTTCACCATCAGACCAGCAACTTGGTTCTCCTTGCTCTGCCCCATCCACTCAAGGATGCCCGATACCTTCCACTGCAAAACACCAAATCATGCAGACCATCCTTCACTTTGGTTTAGAGAGGTGCTGCTTTTGATCTGTCCTTCTTACTTCACTGTAAGACTCCACTGAAATTATTTACTGAAGTTAATGAAATACAAGAGAGAAAATAAGAGGACCACGGAGTTTTATATTCTTCAAGTCCTTTCTCTTACTCCTGGCCAGCAAACTGCCTGACAATCTTTTAAAAAAAAAAAAGTGGAAAGGTTTAAAATTATCAGATCTTATGCTTTTTTATCCAGAAACACCCACAGTAGATGAACAAGACTTCCTTTAAGAACAAAACTGATACACTGTCCGCTACTCTGCTATACTTAGGATTTCTTTTATTTGCTACCAGCTTTTTTAAAGTGCTGTTATCTCACAGTCACAGAGGCAGAAGGGTCACTTCTGCCTCGTTCCTCATGACACACATGTATAGCAGCACAACGAAGAAATAATTAGAACAGAGAAAAGAAAAATAAAGGGAAGCAATTACAGGACACCATTCCTTATTCACACATCCTATCTCAAATACTGCCTCAGTTTGTTCTAGCTACTTGTCTAATCTTTAAACAATATGTATACTAGTGTTCTGCAGACTGCAAACTACAGTACCAACAAATACAGCAACTTCAACTGCTCTGTCATTATCAATCAAAAATAATTTCAGGAAATATGCAGAAGCTGTGACTCAGCTTGGACATCGATGGCTGTTCCATTTCTTAGTCACTGAATGAGGCTAACACATGACTCATCTCAGCTGACACATTTTCAATTGGATCATTGATATTCCAGACCTTCAAAAGAATTATTCATCTGGCTTAGTGCTAATAGCAACATATCCTCCATCTCCTCCATTTATAGTACCATACTACAAAACGTATACATATGATTTAACTGGTGTATACATACGATTCAACTGGTTTCATCCCCTAGTGAATGCAGAGACCCCATAGAACTTGCACTTTTTACTGATATATACTATTTATCATGCATGCACACATTCTTCTTAAAACAAAGATTATTTTTCTCCACAAGTTGATGGAGAAAAAATAATCATCATCTATAATGATGGTCAACTGCAAAACCGATTCAACTAAAAACATTCTTCTGTCATCAATATGTCTTAATGGAGCAGCCCATCTTTGGCATTTTCAGCACTGCATGCATTAACGTGTGCATTCTACACTGGCCAAAGCCAACAGACATTTTTCTCACTCAGTCTCCCAGACTAGACCGCAAGTCCATCATCATCCTGATCAATCTTCTGTATTTACAGACTCAGGTCAAGAAGATCAGTAAATTGATTTTGCCTTGTTTGGAAGCACACTTTGGTGACCTGATCACATTTCAGCCCTATGGCCATTTCCAGCCAGGAATGGCAAGCAGACACTATACAGCCTACAGGCTCCTCCGGCATGAAGGGAAGCTTCCAAAACACACATGGTATTGTGCAACCTGGCAGTAACTATGAAGCAGTTGAGTGGGTCTCTGGATGTCAAACAGCAAGCATGCAAATCATACAGCTCACTAGTGATAATGCAACCCTGGAAAGCAACTGTAGTAGTAGCAGAGCTGACAATTTCTATTTTACAGCCAAGCGTTCTTTTGCAGGTAAATTCCTATTTGTGATACACTCATATCTACTGCTTTGATGAAAGTGGAATTCATACAGGTACTGGAGAATGCTGTAAACCCCTTGGGCATTTAAAGGAATATGTCAATGAGCTCAGAACAATTTTTTTGCTTGTTAACTTTTGTTAACTCAACAGCTGAAGAAAAGTCACTTGGAAAACGACACAGTCCATCCTCAAATGTAATTACAGCCCTGCTTCATAGCAAAATGAGCTACCCAGCAACTACTATGCTACCATTATTTCTTATATTCACCTAGCATGGAATTTCTTGCATTTCCCATTGTGCCTAGTAGAGAAAAAAAAACAACAAATGAGAATGCAGAAAATCTCAGCCCTTCATTTATTAGTCATGATTCAGATCGATGGATATCACCCCTTCTCATGGGCAACACCTTTTGGGGGGGGGTACTCGCACAGGTCACAAACCTTATGATCCCCCTTAAGTTCAGGATGGAAAGCCCCAGTGTCCAAACAGGCCAAGACATTTAGCTACATTAATCTACTGGGACATTCCATGATCTGAGGCACATCCACCTCATACATGGTTCAAAACAAGCTCACTGACCCATACCAGTATCATTTTTAATGCAGGTTACTTCTAAAACAAACAACTTGGCCTTCACCTTGGAATTTATCTTCCAGAAGCACCATGTTTTCACATAGCAGAAGAGGACAACAGAAGATAAATCCCTGCCTAGGCAAAATTAATTTGGTCTTTGGTCCACATCAGGTTGTGTAGGAAGATCCTAACATTGCTTCTGCCACTTAGAAAAACAATCCTATTTTCATGAAGGAACATGTGTACTGAGAACCGGCTATCTAGGAAGAACAGTCTGCTCCAGTTGTCTGGGAGGAAAAAAAATCAGCCTTCCAGGAAAGCTCGTTTCAGCATGCTACCAGATCACTAGCCACTTGTCAGCTGGGCACAGGAATTAAACGCTGGTAAGTTATCCTCAGCTCCAGCTACCCTGTCACACCAGCTCCGAGGAAAAACTACGATGACTGAAGCAAGCGATTCCCAGGAGAAAAATAACAGCTAGTATCAGAAGGGAGAGGGACTGGTGCTGAGCAACACACGCAAGCTGGCATCCACATTTCCCAGAGAGAAAACAACAAAACCCTGAACACAGTTGGCCAGTTCCC